CTTAAGAACTCATTCCTTATTTGCCAAAAAATCCAAATGCTCTTTTGGTCAAAATCAAGTAGAATATCTGGGACATATAGTCACTGGCAAGGGTATTTCTGTTGATCCGGCAAAGGTTGAGGCTTGTTGTCCTGGCCGACTCCTCTCAATGCTAAAGCTCTAAGAAGGTTTTTTAGGCCTCACTGGGTATTATAGACATTTTGTGAAAGGATATGGTAGTATAAACAGGCCCTTTATAGATCTTTTGAAGAAAAATAAATTGAATAGGATGAAGTAGCCAACTTAGCATTCCAACAGCTTAAGAATGCTATGAGCAGCACACCTATATTGGCTCTGCCTGATTTTTCCCAACCATTTCAATTAGAAACTGATGCTAGTAAAGAAGCCATGGGTGCAGTATTGATGCAACAAGGAAGACCTTTGGCTTATATGAGCTAAGTATTGGGCTAGAAGAATCAATCACTATCCATTTATGAAAAAGAATTATTGGCACTCATTTCAGCGGTCAGTAAGTGGAGGCATTGCTTGTTAGGATCTCATTTCATTATCAAAATAGATCATGAAAGCTTAAAATATTTGTTGGAGCAGAAAGTAACCACAACGTTACAACAAAAGTGGTGGCTAAGCTGATGGAGCTGGATTATGAAATACAGTATAAAAGAGGAAAAGAGAATTTGGTAGCTGATGCTTTGGCCAGAAAAGGTGATGATACAGATGGGAATTCTAAAGGAGGAATGGCTCAGATCTAGGCCATTTCTACTAAGAAACTCTGTGGCTTTCTAAAGTTACTGAGAGTTACAATGAGGATGAATGGACCAAAGATTTATTGATTGCTCTAACTTCTAAAGATCTCATACTCAGGAATACTCTTACAACCAGGAGTGATCAGATTCAATGGCAGGATATTGATTGGTTCTACAACTGATCTTAGGCAACACTTATTTCTATCATGCATGAATCAATCATTGGTGGACATTCTGGGAGTTTTAATCACTCGATAATGGAAAAATATTCTTGTCCTCTACCACCATTTTGCTTTTAATTGTCCTTTATGTGTGTATCTATAGAACAAAATTGAGCCATTTCATCTATCTTATTCAGTTTTGTAATCTATGGAAGCTCTAACACAAAACCTAGTTGTCGAGGGGGTAAAAAAAAAAGAAATTCTCGTGATATTTTGTCTAATGCCTGTCGTTCATGTAAGAAAAGACATTGTGTCTTTAACCATATGAGAAAGCTCACTTTAGGTTAGAATATGATCTTCGTTTGAATTTATTGATTTTCAGGATACATTTATATTTATTTTTTAGAAATTTGAGCCAAAAGACCTGGGCGCCATGTGCAAAATAGCTACAGGAAAGAAATAGAGATAGAGATTGCCGTCCTAATCTTTCTCAACTTGATAGGATTCATAATGCATATGTGGTTCTTCCTAATGCTCCTAATTGTGAGCATTGTGGAGCCAAGAGGTTCCACTTTGTCCCTCCCAATTTCTACTACTCTGTAGGAGAAATTTCCATTGTTGCTACTCCAATGCCTTGTAATCTGAAGCCCTTATTTACTGATAATGATGAAGAAAGTGCTCATTTAAGGAATAATGTTTGAACTTACAACAATAACTTAGGTTTTACATCATTCGCTGCAAAATATGACTGAACTAACAAAAAACTCGAAGGGTGTTTATACATTTCATGTTCAAGGTTAAGTTAAACATTTTCTTAATGGTCTAATCCATAGAGGCAATCAGCTATTCGGAATTTAGTTGTATTTTTTTGACACAGATGAAGAATTAGCAAAAAAGCTTGATAGTTCTGATAAATTACGTGAAAGCACTTTAAGTCAAGTTTTGACTGGAACTACTCGTGAGTAGTTTGATTTGTTTGCAACCCTAGTTGGCATAATAATAATAGATAGAAGACTAGACTGAAGCAAAATAAATGTTAAAAAGGTTCACTATCAGCCACGCATTCTTTATATATAAACACTCCGTTGTTGAATAAATTTGCTATCTCAACTAAGAAATATTCAGTGTTAAAGAAAATAATCATGAGCTGCATCACTGTAGGCAGGTAACTTTCATTCTTTCAATTTTCATTTGTTTTACAAAATCTAACAGGATTTATGGACATATATTCTTCTTATTACATCAATTTTCTTTTTTTGATCTTCTGTTCTCAGTTTAATGCTAGAAAATTTAACCACCCTCATTTAACAGACAGCAGATTATGGCCTACTGTTTATATTAAAATGTAATCACAAAGGACAGGTATATCTTTGCATTTCATGTAACCTCAATAACTAATGTAGTGATATATAATACTAACATGCAATCATTTATCTTTGCTTATCTTATTTCAAAAACTTAGATTTTAAGTCTTGCGATTGCATTTAACATTACTTATTTTATTCCTTAACCTAAGATTTTGCCTTCCGAGTTTGAACTATTGCTTAGTTGACACCAATGCAATACAATCATTCTCAGATATGGAAACCTATAGATGGCTTATCACAGTCGCTGATCATTCATTTGCAGAAGGATGGGATGAATACTGCCATGAAAATATCACTAAGAAACATGATATGTTGTTACTTTGACATAGTGGCAATCTCATCTTTGATGTCATCCATTTTTGTGAGTTTCATAAGCAAGTTTACTTACATTGGACAGTTCTATTGCTAGATCTATTGTAGGCTGGTGTTGAACAGAGACAAGACCAGTATATGCTTCATTTTACTCTATGTATCCATTTGTGCTCTTCTTATTCTTAATACACTATCTGCTGAATAAGTGCAGCTTGTCTGCAGTCGATGGTTATCCAATAGCACGTAGCTTCATCAATGAAATCAAATTTAATCCAAAATCTAACTGATTCAGTTTGCTTTTATCAGATTTTTTCTTCAACTACTCCCAGCGCATTAGCAAGCATAACTTACACTACCTTTTTTTGCCATTATTGTTCCATTTCTTTTAACTGAATCTATGTTTTCACTTCTACAATCTAACTTTCATTAATCATTAGCAAAATTCCAAGTTTGTCAATCACTACGTCAATGGTGACGTGACTCCAACTCTTCTCATCAAGACAGGAAACAAAGCTACCAAAATTGGTGTCAAAGGAAAAAAGCTCAAAAGAATTGGAGAAGTTTCATCCTTGAGATGTATTGCAACATAATGAAATTCATATTTATTCCCAAATCAAAGACAATCTTTACAGTTTTAATCTTTGATGATAACGGAGTTGAGAAAATATTTTCGTGGTATTACACCTTTCATGTTTATTCGGATGGTTAGAGTTCTAATGAATTCATGTAGCCTTCTTTCCTTATATCCAGCAGCACAGTATTTCATGATGCTGAATCAAGCTCCTATGCACCATAATATACTCAATTTGCAAATTGTCAAAGAAAATTAGGGATAGCCAGCTTGTTGCTATCTTCTCATTCATTCTATTTTCCTAACAAGTGTACTAGCCATTTTCTCCTTTTTTGTGTGTCTTGCTTCTGATACTTGTAAAGATGAAAATTTTTGATTATCTTTATTATCTGTTGCCTCGACCCATTTCCTATCCAATTTTTTTCCTACTTTATCTTATGCTGAAACTTTATCTACGCACATTCCTTACTACGTACTTTGATATTTCAGCTGCTCAGTAAAATTTTAAGCACATAATACATATACAATTATTATATTTGACTATAGCACATACTATATCTATTTAAATATCTGGGCATTTTCTAGGCATATGTGAAATCCACACCGCACATTTGCGCGGGTGTTCTCCTCCTAGGATCCAATAAAATCCTATATGTATGGAACTTGAGCTCAAGTTTCAAATCAAGCTCAACCTAGTTTAGGTTATTATGGGTGAGATCCAGCCGAAATTAAACTCCTTTATATCGAGTTAATCCCAAGCATAGGTAAAGAAGTTAATCGAACTCGAGATTGAGTATTTGTTTACATCCTTACTGATTGCCGCCATTGGCATAAGCTCTCTTAAGATACTGAAGAAGTTAATCGAACTCGAGATCGAATGTTTGTCTAAGCCCCTATTGATTGCCTCCAATGTTTTGTAACTCGGACCATTAATTGAATCGGTGAGGTATTCGGGTCGAAATTCAACCGGTTGGACCGATTTAACCCCAGTTCAATAATTTTTTTAAAAATAATTTATATAAATATATATATATGTATAAATAAAGAACATACAATGGACTAATTTAACACTTTATATGATGAAAAGTTTAATATTTTCAAAGGACTTGGATTTTCACAAATAAAAAATTTAAATTATAAGTTGCAATAAAAAAATTTTATTTCAATCTCAATTGTCTACCAAAAAATAATTTAATCCAACCCAAAAATACCACTATTATAAAATTATACAAATTCGCGCATCCATGGGAATTAGACATTGTGAATTAAAATTTTTAATTCAAGTTTTTGGGATTTAAAGATTGCAACTTAAAAAAAAAGAAGTTGGAGTTTGGAGGAAATCAGGAAAATAGAAAATAGAAATGCAAACTTGATAAGAGGCAAAAACTGTGAAGAAAGTGAGTGGATGTGACATTTAATAATTAGTTTTTAAGGTTAAGGAAAATCTATTCTTTTATATATATATATTAATTTAATAGGCAAAAATACAAAAATCACCGAGTTCAAACGATTTTTATCGATTTTTAACTCCAATCAACCCGAGATATGAATCGAAGCGGAGTTATGATCGATTCCTAGTCTGATCGATTGAACTGACCAGTCTAATCCGATTTTCAAAACAATGTTAGCCGCCATTTGCATAAGCTCTCTGACGATTCTGAACTTGTGGCTTCCCAAACACCCCCCTCCACATGACCCCGGCAAATTTTTTATTTTTTTTAAAAGATGGACAAAATTTCTTCATAACGGTGTCGTTTTATCGGGGTGTGGTCTAGAAACTTGTTCATCTTTTCCTTTTCTCCCTAATCCGCCATCAGCGACCTCAGATGTTACTAAATAATAAATCAGCACCCACCTTATTTACTTTCGTTTTCACCTCTCCAGACGAAAACCTTCAGTCTATGACTACGCACACTGGAAAGTGAATAGTTACTCCCATTTGTAATTTTGTACATCTAATAATAATAAAATACCAGAGAGAGAAAGAGTGGGCAGGAATTAAGTTAGGGTTTTGGATTAAGAAAGTAAAAAGAAGAAGACTAAGAAGAAAAGTGGAAATCTCCAGCGCGAGAGATATAGAGAGATAGAGAGATGAGTATATGGAACTATGTGGTGACGGCGCACAAGCCGACCAATGTAACGCACTCGTGCGTCGGCAATTTCACCGGTCCTCAGGAGCTCAATCTCATAATTGCGTAAGCTTTTTTATGCCTCTATTTTTTCCCAGTAATTAAAGAAATGAAGAATTTTTCGTTAGTTTATTGACTCCTATTTATTTTTAGCTGTTTTGTGTTTCTGCAGATTTTTTTTTAAATTTCTCATACTTGAATTATGGCATTTTAATTGTATAAGTGAAGAGACGTTATAATTATGATTCTTTTCCTACCTAAAATTTTGTTGTTGGTCGGGATTTTTTTTTCTTTGATTTGTAAGTTTGCATTTTTGCTTGTTTTCAGTCAATTCTTTTTAATTCGGCATACAGGTGAATTGTGAATTGGTACGTGAAAATTTGTGAAAAAGCGTGTGTGCTTGATGGTCAAAATCAGAAAATGGCTTAACTTTGGGCTATACATTATTTGGGCATTTGTTCTGACTTTTGAACGGGATTATTTTTGAACCAATTGAGTGTACTCTCCTATCCAGTAATAGTCAGTTGAAAGTCTTTAAGTAGTGGGATCCATGTTTCTTTTTGTTATTTGTTGCTCAAATACTTTATTTATGTTACCACATGTTCTCAGGAAATGCACAAGAATCGAGATTCATTTGCTCACTCCTCAAGGTTTACAGGTGGGTTTTTTTATTTTTATTTTTATGAGATTTACAAGTTGTTACATATTTGTGTTTGTGAAGAAGTTAACCTTCTTCCTTGTATAGCATCTCTTTCATTAAATGTTAAAAATTCATAATGAATCCTTTCAGAAAGGTAACACAAGTCTGCTGTGCTTCCCTGACAATTTAAGAGGCCTACAATGAGTTATTTAAAAAATTTAGCATCACCTAGAATCTCATGGAATTGTATGTTTATGTACATTTACAATATTTATGTGCATTAATTATCGAAAGAACGACACTCAGAAAATATGGGTACAAGTATAGGTTTAGGTGTATATTTAGGTTTATGATTCATCAAATTTGGGAGCATAGATGTGGGGAGATTGCCGCAAATTTGGACCCTGGTACTTGATTACGTAGTAAATTTTCTGTAAGTAGATATGACGGTTGTTTGTCAATGTGGTATTTTGCGTTATGTGCTTTGTAATTTGTGATTTAAAAATCTTCAGAATCCTAGGAAATTTTGGTGGAACTGAGTTTAATTTTGTCTATCTGCAGCCTATGTTGGATGTGCCAGTATATGGCAGAATTGCAACACTTGAGCTGTTTCGACCACATGTGAGTTTTTGACTTGAATTTTGTTAAGCATTTATGTAAGTCAAACGTGTATCAATCTTACATGTATTGTCTTCTTGCACTGACAGGGTGAAACACATGATCTTCTGTTCATAGCAACAGAAAGATATAAATTTTGTGTTCTTCAATGGGATCCTGAGGCTGCTGAAGTAGTTACTAGGTCAGATAGCTAAATTTGGTTGTATCATTAATATCTCTGTTATTTCTGTGCTTGATAATCTGATCTAAACAAAAGAATATGTAATTCTTATAGGAATTCTCCACATGAAATGTCGATTTTGAATAGCAATAATTTTGATTCCTTGAGAAGTAACACTTCATAGTCAAATGCATCCTATCATATCTCATGTTCTGTTGTGCTGTAATATAATCATAATGACTGATGTTTTAATAGAGCGATGGGGGATGTTTCTGATCGAATAGGCCGTCCCACTGACAATGGTCAGGTACTCTACTACTTGCCCATAAAGTAGTTCACTTGCACTTGAAGCTGTCTTCATATATATATTTGGGAAAGCTTCCAATTCTGATGTGAATTGTTATCTTGTTTTTGCAGATCGGCATAATTGACCCAGATTGCAGATTGATTGGGCTTCATTTGTATGATGGATTATTTAAGGTAATCTTGAATAGTGCACTAATTTATTATTATAATACTTCCCAGTGATTTATTTCTATCTCTTGTTTGGTACTCTTATTACTCAAATGGATGCCGTCACTATCTTGATCTCTGATGTAGTAGGCAACTGTTTTATTTGTTGCCAGGTTATTCCATTTGATAACAAAGGCCAACTCAAGGAAGCATTTAATATAAGGTATTCTCCAATTTTCTTTACTATTTCTAGATGTCAGACTTACGTATATGGAGTTGGTTGATAATAGACTAGCTGTGATAATTTCTGCACCGTGATTGATCTAACTTTCTTAGCTTTTTTCTGGTTATGGATATCATAACTAGTAATACAGATTTTTCAAACATGGCAAGCTACTGGGTGATCCCAGATTTTTGTCTGAAATTGTTCATGGTGCCCTTTTACTTGTAGGAGATACTGGAGGAACTTTGCTTCTCCTTGGGTGATGTTACTTTTCTTCTTCTTTGGAGTAACAAGAAGATGCTCAAAAGTTTTTCAGAGCCAAGTTTGCATAATAGTTTTAGTCCTTCCCTGAAGATAAAAGAGGAAAACTCGTACTAGCAAACTAGAAAAACAAATAAGAAACCAGCACTGGGTAATGGAAAGAGAATATCGTGCTTCTCAGTTGACTTGTGGTGAAAATGTAGTCTAAGTGGCAAATAAATCAAAATAGTCTCCTAATTGGATATGGTGTTTTTTGAGTGTGCCAATGTGCATATGTAACACCTTCTTGGTGGATATTGATTAAATTTTTTTTCTTATATCAAAAGGTCAAAAGAAATGCCTTTTGGAGTTGGACATTTTTTGCCCCTAGTTCTATGATTATTATTAACAGATCTCTTAAACGAGTGACTTGTATAAACAGATGTGGAGATACTTGCAGGGTCTCGCTTGTAAGTATTGTCTTTAAAGAGTGGAGTTATTGGGTAGTTTTAATCTTGCATCCGTCTGAGTTTTAGTATTGTTCATATTTTCCTTTGGATGCCAAGTGTTATTCTCAGAGGATAGTCTGCTTGGTGCAAAAACATTTTTCTATGAATTAGGTTTTGCTAGAATCTTGATAACCTTTAGATTTATCTCTTGAAATTCAGTTGATGGAAGACGTTTTTCATTAGAAAACCTCAAGAACAAACAGGAACAGTGATAGCTTCCATATTATTTTTTACTTCTCCCGCACTAAAATGGGTGACCCAAATCTTATTCATTCATTTCTTCCCTCATTAAATTTAACTTTGTCTAAATAACTAAATCCATGCACCAATACTTCATGACTAGCAAACATTTTCAGCTTCAAAATTAGAATTAAAGTAGCACTGCACATCATTTCATTAAATCACCAGCCTCGAAAAAAATTTTAAAAATTTAAAAAAAGAAATAAATAAATAAATAAACAAAAACCCATTAAAGTTCTGAAAAGAAACAACTAGAAATACCTAAAAGATTGAATGACACAAAACAAAAACCCATTAAAGTTCTGAAAAAAAAAAATTAAAGTTCTGAAAAAAGAAACAACGAGAAATGCCTAAAAGATTGAATGAAACAAAAACCAAGCTTTCTCATCTGATACGCACAACAAGGTTTAGCTGTGGGTTGTCCACTTTTTTCCTTTTTTCCCCCGCTCCATAAAGAGGAAGATGTAATGAAGAAGTTTATACACTTCTATACTGGAATATGCCACCTTTTCTTTTCTTTTTTGTAATTTTGGTCTGTTTTTACTTTTAATGAAATGAATGATGAAAAGGAGGCCAAAATGTGCATTGATTCTCTTTATGATTGTGAGACAAAAGATGGTAAAAAAGGACAATAATAATAAGTAGAATATGATTTGCCCGCAGCCAAGTCCAACAAGTGGCCTTTTCCCGTTCTCAGTTTCTGCTCTGGGTCTGCTGCGCCACGTCAGGGCTTACGACCAAGCAGTCCCATCATTTACCAATAAAAAAAACTGAAGTCACCGACTAACAAGGACTCAGGTTCGGCTGGGACCAGGGCTGCTAACGAGGAGCCGGTTCGCTCAAATTGCGATTCGAGGTTGATCAACATACGAGCGGGCTAACAAACGAGTCTAGTCGAATCAGTATCCAGTATACAAATTACTCGAATCATGAACTCACCGAGCTGGCTCGAGCTTGTATATTTTAAATATTTTATATTTTTAATAGTAAAATTATATTATGTCTCCTATAATTTAATTATTTAATTGGGGTGAAATGTCAATTTTATTCATTTTGAAAAATATAAAAACTATTTTTTGTTTTATTTGAGCTCGAGTAACCTTGAACTTGAGCTTGACAAAACTCGAATTGGAGTTTGAACTCGAGTTCAAGTTTTAGAATGAAAATTTTGATTGAGAGTTTGGTACAATTATCTGGTTGTCATACTTTTTACATTATACAGTATACATTTTTATAATTTTATTGTACTCATAAATTTGATTCATATACATCATATCAATGTATAAAAGACACCCACATTATACATGCAACACGGTAATCACACCTAACCGGACCGAAGCCAATGTACCTCCCTCGGTCCCGATGAACAAATAGTACACAAAATTTCTAGTTAAGGTATTTGGGTGCTCTAGACAGATTTTATAATTAGTTTTTAAATTGCACGTTAGAGCCCATTTGGATTGTTACGTTTTGGTAGAAAAAATTTTAAATTGTTCTCTTGACATATTTTTAATTATTTTTTTTATCTTATATATATATATCACATCGTTATATTATTTTTTTAGTAAATTAAAAAATATATATATATATCTCATCGTTATATTTTCTTTTCACTAAAATTTAAAAAAATTGCATTCGAAATGAGCTCTCGAGTGATACATTTTGGTCGATTGTATTAGACTTGTTAACTCTAACTGATGCATTACACACTGATGCTTGAAATTAAGTTATTACTTCTTATGGCTACATTAAACTTTGAAATAAGATGGAATAATCAGAAGATATGATTTCAGAAAATGAGTGAATTTGCAAATAAATACAAATTGGAGGTCTACGATACAAAAAGTGTAACGACAATAGAGGTTTTCTACCAATATTTTTGTAACCCTCCAGAAAAGACAAGGCAAGTATACTTGTACGACATCAATTTAATTTGCACAAATTAATTGTTATCCGAATAGTATAAGTCTTTAATGCAAGAAATGCAATGCAGTTTTCATAATAAATATTGAATGCTAGATTATAATGGTTTTTTTATTTAAGATGGTAGAAATTTGTGCAAGCATAGGCAAGGTTTCAAATGTTAAGAGTTGATGGTCTTTTCCGTTTTTTGGTTCTTTAACATTTAATTTACACAGAAATGTTAACATTGATACGGTTGGACATCATTTACAATGCAATGGTTTAGATACGGTTGTATCTTTTTCCTTATTAGATGTATGCAAGACATTTATACTTCACAACCTATGTTCTATTTCCTGGTTTTTCAAGTAATCTCGAAATTCATAGAATGCTCTACGAAATAAGAAGATGACACTTATGGAAAATTTTGCCAAAATTGCTGGTTGCTGAAGTAGACAATGGCACACGGCATAATTAATTTCAGAGGTAGCATGTTAGCATCATCAACACTTAGGGTATGTTTCATAAAATTGAAATCTAAAATCTGAAATTTAAAGTTTGAATCCATTAAGTTATTGAATTGTTAAATATTAAATCAAATACATTTGAGTGTATATCATATTCAGTAATAAGTGAATAATTTATTACTTATTTTTGGGAGTAAGTTTTGCCTAGTAAATTTAGTGACACTTAATTAATTCAGAAGTTTAATCTTGGCTATCAAACGCGTATGAACATATTAAGATCTGAATCTGTTAAATTTAAGTGTTGAATTGAGTTATCAAACAAGACCTTATTCTTACATTTGCTGAAATTCTTGTGTGGTTTTTGCCTCTCTTCGTCCCATCTATTTTAAGCTAATTATGCATGGAAAGGTCCCAATCCTTTTTACCACTAAGTTTTGCATCTGGCACATATTCTCTGGTAAGTCTCTCTTGTTCTGACTGAGTGGAGAATCTAATTTTCTATACGATACACGTTTATATGTTCCATAGTCCCCACTTCTTGACTCATTCTTTGTATTTTCTTGTGTACTTTCGCATCTTTTTCCTTCACTTCTTTCCTTCCCCCTCCCCCCCGGGGGTGCAAGAAATTTTGACTATGCTGATTTTATTTTGGGGTTTCCTTTTCTATTTTTGGCTCGAAAAGTAACAACATAATTGATTTTACAGTTGATTGCGTAATACCTTAAAGATTCTTGCATTATCCCTTTATTGTTTAGTTGGATCAATCTGCACCATATGAATCACAAATTTAATGAGAATCATAGACGTGCATAAATTGCAGAAAAGAAAAAGATGCCTTCAATCCAATCAGTAAAATGTCGATTTGGGAAATGGTTTAAACACTTGGGGGCATTTTTGTTCACAAATTACAATTTTTTTTGTTTTAGTCGAATATATATATATATATATATATATGTATCTTTTTATTTTTATACATGTACAATCAGTCAATCACACGTTTCTTCGTAAAGTATTGCTTTTCATGAAAAGCATGTAAATTATTTTTGTGTAATATGTATCTCTAAATGATGTCCAACTGTATCAATTTAGGATGTAATGTATTAGTTGTATCATATTCACAGAAGTTAAAATATTTGGGGGCAAATTAATCCAATTGGATAATGAAGGGAACCAAGTGATATCCATATATTTTTTGAGAGTGAATTCCGTATTTAATCTTTAATTTTATTATCCATCCAATATAGAGTTATCAATAGTATGAGACTATCAGTATTAACCTTGCCAAGGCTCAGCACATTCCAAGTTTCTTCTTAGAGAGGGATGCATCCTGAGTTATCAAGCTTATATGCAATAAAGAGTAAGACCTCTCGAAAATTGGCCAGATAATAGAGGATGTTCGTCTTGCTTTACTATACCAATTATGTATTGATATTAGTTGGATTCCTAAAAATGCAAATAAGGTTGTATATGGCTTAACTCACTATGCTCCTTTCTTGGAAATCTCTTTGGAACTCTCCCTAGATTTGAACGATTTTCAGCAGTTTTATTAATGAAATTATTTTTTAATAAAAAAATTATAAAAATACTGTAACAATTTTTTAATATAATAGATATGAGATAAAAAAATGATTAAAAAATATGTTGATAATACAAGAAAATTAATGTATATAGATAAGGTGCAAACCAAACAAACTCACCTATTT